CGGGGGGGGGCCCCTGGGAGGGTGCTGCTGCTCGGGCGAGCTGGCACCAGACGCATGTTGACTCGGCTCTTCTCTCCCTGGCCTGTTACAGTGGCATTGGCTTCGCGCTGTGCAAGCGGCTGCTGCAGGAGGACGCTGGGGTCCAGCTGTGCCTGGCCTGCAGGAACATGCAGAAGGCCACCGCCACCAAGGCCATGCTCTTAGCTGCCCACCCCTCCGCCCAGGTCAGCCTTGTGCACCTGGATGTCAGCAGCCTGGAGTCCATCCTGTGGGCAGCCAGCGAGATCCAGCACAGGTGCATAGGCCGCCTGAGTGTGGAAGGGGATGGGTGCTGTGCCCCCTGCCCAGGCTGGGCCAAATGGGCAGTGTGTTCACTCAGGCTAGAGGACAAATATGCTCTCTCCTCAAGTGCAGCTGGTGCTGTTCCAATCCATTTCTAAATGCCATGTAGCATATGTAGGCGGGGGGGGCTTCCTGGCCTAGCTTGCGACTACTCCCTGAAGCACACCAATCAGGCCCTGCAAGGTTTCGTGCAGCCCTGGTCCTGGGCATTATGCTTGGTCAGAAGTGGAAATTCAGTGTGTACGCCACGAAGGAATGCTGAAAGCCTCTCTTCTGCCATTTAGCTTCTCTTTCACCTATCACAATCCAAAAGTATACCACTGAGCCTGAAATACTTACGTTTTCCCTGAACCCAGGAGCACAGGGCAGCTCTAGATAGGAAGTGATCTGTTTGCCTCTTGTTTCAATATTGGTGGCCACAATGTTTCATCTTGAAGGGAGGAGTTGGCTTTCCAAGGGTTTCCCTAAAATCTTTGGCTACCTTGTGTATCCTTGGCTATCTGGTGTTAGCAGAACTCCAGAGAGCTACAGGTATGCTGAGCACCGTGCTATCTAGATCTGTTCTGAGAGGGTTAGACAACAGCAAAAAACACATCCCCTTCAGGAATCTTGTCTGTACCAAGACTCCCAGTATTGCTTCCCATCTCCCCAAATGAGCTGAACTGGTAGTAGCAACAGTCGGAAGTCTAATTCTTCCACTGCAGGTCAGGGCACTTCTGGGTTCCTTAATTCCCCACTTACCTATATCTCAATGTTGGTGAAGTTTTGTTTACACACTGCTTTGAGATCTGTAGTTGGAAATCAGTAACTGCAGAGTTACTGTGGTGATGGTCGGTGTTCTCTGTTGGGACTGGGATTGTTATATTAGCCTATGGAAGTTAGGTGCCTAAATCTCACTGAATTAATCTCATCTTATTTTCTCTTGCAAATCCTGGTAGCTTGCTGGAATTTGAAGTATATAGAAGTTTGGAAAATAAATTACTTGTGGGCATCAGTTACATTTTAAGAATCCTTGATTTTAATCTTTAACACTCCAGCTTTTGTGGGATTTTCTGTTCAGAGTGACTTTTATGGTTCAGATCTCTATAGTGGACTCAGTCAAGAACTCTGAATCAAAGTACTTTCATAATATGGGGAAATTTATTCTGAATCCTAGTTCTCGATCTTGCCTAGTTTTATTTTGGAAGTGACATCTTCATGATTAGTTTAATGCTTCCTTGAACTTCAAAATACAGAAATGGCTTGTCTCTTAGGCTAAGTCTATGCTGCAGGCTTCTTGTGCAAAAACTGTTTTGCGCAAGAGTTCTTGTGCAAAAGGTCTTCCACAAGAGCGCGTCCACACTGCCATGTGCTTTTGCGCAAGAGCGTCTATGGCAGCGTGGATGCTCTCTTGTGCAAGATAGCTCTGATGGCCATTTTAGCCATAGGGGTTTCTTGCGCAAGAAATTCATGTTGCCTGTCTACACTGGCTTCTTGTGGACGAGCTCTTGTGTAAGAGGGATTACTCCTCGTGGGGAGAGGAATAACTCTTCCGGAAGAAGCCCTGTTTTCCAACTCTGTGTTGTAAATTTACTTGCGCAAGAACGTACATGCAGTGTAGACACCTGGCAAGTTTTTGCTCAAGAACAACAGCAAAAAATACATCCCCTTCAGGAATCTTGTCTGTACCAAGACTCCCAGTATTGCTTCCCATCTCCCCAAATGAGCTGAACTGGTAGTAGCAACAGTCGGAAGTCTTGTGCAAAAAGCCTGCAGTGTAGACATAGCCTTACTGTTTCCATTGTGGGCTAGTATCACCAGCTTTTTAAAAGATGTGCTTTAGGTAATAGCCATAACCAACCATACTGTTTGTGTTTCTCATGTGTAGGTTTCAGCACTTGGACTATCTCTTCCTGAATGCTGGGATCATGCCGAATACCCATGTTAACTTCAAAGCACTTATCTCTGGTCTCTTCTCTGGGTACAAGATACCATCCTTAAGTAACAATCAGATACTTTTCTCTTTCTGATTTGAGAAGGGGGAGAGAGAAGAAATGGATGATGGTATGAATGAATATTCCAGTCATTCACTGAGATTTTTGGATGACTGAGAATGTGAGAGATTGTTAATGCCACTCACGTTAGTGAGTAGTTATCTAAAAGGTGAACAGATCTTCCTTCTGATATAGTCTTTACTTAGAAAGTCAGATGTGCATGCTAATCTCCAAAGGCCTTCTTCTCAGAAGAGTTTACAGTTCAGGTAAAGCTGGAAGGCTTGCCAAACGATTCAGTGGATGATAACTAATGCTAAGATTTGGTCATGGATATTTTTAGTACAAGTCCTGGACAATAAAGAGCAATTCACTGAAGATGTGATCTGTATGTGACTTTTGCTAAAGAAATCTGTGCAAAAAAATGGGGATCTGTGGGTCTCCACACTGCCTGCAGCTGTGAGGCAGCCAGAAGCTCTAGTCAATTCCACTGTGGGTTGGATGTCAGAGCTCTAGGGTCCCCCTGCCTGCTTGGTTGCCAGGAGCTGTGGACTGCTCTTGCGACAGTGACACTGTAGTAACTCGGGGCCATCCTGCAGCTCCTGCCCAACACAGGCTGGAGTCACAGAGGTTGCTGGAAGTCATGGATTCTGTGACTTCTGCAACCTCTGACTAAATTGGAGCCCAGGCCACAGGCTCTCATTTAGTATGTGAGCAGCAAAAATTGGAGCTGGCTGAAGTCTTTCAAAGTTTAGTTGAAAGGTATTTAATTTTTTTAAAAATACAAAGCAAACTAACAACCTCCTGGCACCTGGATCTTGGTTTTTGCAAAATTTATGCTCTTAAATATGTAAAAGATTATCAGGATTCTTCCTTTTGAAACGGGATTTTGGAAATATCAAAGGGACTATTTTGAACTTTCAAAATGAGCACTGCTTCTGAATTTGATTCTGCGAGGAGTTTTTCAATCTTTTGTAGTGCTGGTCAAAATACTAAACTGGTGAGTGGGAATGTTGTAGAATTGTTTAATAAACTCGTGCCTGAAGAAGCAGTAGCTATCTGAAATCTCAGCTGTTGCCCTCTCATTTTATTCCAGGGAAGCAGTCCACATGCTGAGTACAGCGGAGGGGCTGTTAACTCAAGAAGATAGTGTCACTTCAGATGGCCTACAGGAAGTGTTTGAAACCAACCTCTTTGGGCATTTCATACTGGTAATGATGCTTCTGACAGTCAAGCCCTGATTTTGGGTCAGTGTGTAGTTTTGGGTTAAGCAAGAATTAAATGAGTTTGTTTCAGCTTTCTGGTTCCAGTATTCCTGTATATTGACCCAGTGAGGAATATAGCTGAGCAATGTGCAGTGGCCCATGCATAAGGCAGGAGGCTACACCATTCCTTGTGCATATCCTGGCCTTGTCAGCTGTCTCCTAGTGACTGAAGAAATCTCAGACCTGGCTGCTATTCAGTGTGAAGGCAACATTGGTTACTGAAAGAGTTAGATTTACCTTGTGGTAACTCTGTGCAGCCAGCAGACATGTTGGCCCTAAGAACAAAGGCTTGGCTTTCACTGCTTTGCAACCTGTATAGCAAGTTACTCCTGCACAAAGTGAGCACAAACTATAAAATGGGTCTGCTGCACCCAAAGGCTGTCTTCCCCCTCCCCCCCCTTCCCTAGCAGGGGTCAGCCTTCCTGGAGCACCAGTGATGTGATTCTTCACTAGTTTCTTGTGCAGACAGCTAACCCAAACTCCTTCCCTCTAGAGCAGCATAGCTCAGAAATGGGAATTTGTTTTCAGATGTCCTTGGGATACTCCTGAAGCAGATAAGAACTTTTATCTCCTTAGATTCGGCAGCTTGAGCCTCTGCTATGCCGTCTTGAAAAGCCCTCCCAGCTCATCTGGACCTCTTCCAGCAATGCCAGGAAGTCTGCTTTCAGTCTCATGGACTACCAGCACAGCAAAGGCAAAGAGTCTTACAGTTCCTCCAAATATGCCACTGATCTTGCTAGTGTAGCTCTGAACAAGCACTTTAACAAGCAGGTGAGGGTGTCTATGATGCAAAGTTGTCACACTTAAGCACATGGGCCTCAGAAATGCTGATAGGGTGGCATGCTTTTCAGTTGCAGTAGCATGAGGATGCATAGTTGTGTACCATTTAGCTTAATAAATTGTTTCATGAATGTGAAGGAGCTTGGGTAGGGGGAGTTTTGAGTAGGTATGATTGGTAGGATGTGACGGGAAATGTTTGATGCAGAAGTTGCGTTATGTTTGAAATATTCATAGATGAGCTTAGAAGCTGTAGACTTGCTTTTAGGACAGTCATGTGCTATCTTCATTGGCTGCGTTGTATTGATATTTAATAAACTTTCCAGTCTGGACTCATCCACCTGATTGCCTGCTCCATCACACAAATTAAGCGGTCTATCTAGTCTTGCAACCTGTCTCCATGATGGCTAAAGAAACGTTTTAGAGGAAGGTGCAAGAAACTCGTATGGGACAGTAATAGAATAATTTGCCTGAGAGAGAAACTTCTGCCAATTGATGTGGCTTATGCTCAGTGGTAGAGGTTGAGAGGCCTCTTAAAATACTTACTTGATATGACCGAGGATGGGCTTGTAATTCGTGGCATGGCAGCAGATATCTGTGTGGGAGCTGCTGACTGTCCTACACTAGACTCTCAGACAAGAGGCAGGGCCTTCCCTCTCATGGGCCTGTGATTGGAATGAATGCTAATATCCCCTTGTTCTGTGCCAGTCCGCAAGTGGCCACTTTCTTTCTGGAAAGAGTTGCTATTTTTGGCTGCTACCTAACTGCTATTTGGTGGGAGAGGGGATTAGCTATATGTCAAGGATGAGGAGTGTGTAATACTTCTCTACACCTCTCTGCTCACTGCTGTGCAGGAGTATCTGCTGGCTTTACACTATGAAGCCTTTGGAAGGTGTGAGCCACCTGACAAATATTGTCTTGTTTGTCCTTTCCAAGCAGATTTGTAGCATTTATTGTTGGCTTGTCTCCTCCGCAGGGGCTGTATTCCAGTGTAGTTTGTCCAGGTCTTGTGATGACTAACCTGACTTATGGAATCCTGCCGTCTTTCTTTTGGAAGCTGCTTATGCCCGTCATGTGGATAGTGAGTAATCTCCCTGAAAATGGATTTCCAGTTCTCATTATGCTGGGATGGTAATGGAGTGAAATGTCCTCGGTGAAAAGGCAATGTCCTTCATTCCTGGTGTGAAAGGAAATGCTGCAGGTTGGCCTCTCACCCCTTCCTTGGATCCAGGGAACTGCTTGCTGACCTTGCCTTAAAGGGCATGTACTTTCATATAGCAGTTACGCTGCGGAAGGTACCTCACCAGGCTTATGGTGAACAAGAGCCGCTACCAGTTCAGTCTTCTGGTTCAGCCTGTCAGCAGCTCTTTCCATGTTTGCCAAGTGCATGTCGTCGGATTTTTGCCCAAGCACCAGGGTCAGGTATTTTTCTACCTCAGTGACTGGCTGATCAAGGGCTGCTCCAGGGCTCAAGTAGAGGTACAGGTTGACTTTATAGGAATGATGTTTGATGAACATGGGGAAATCAACTCTTCCCTGTTCAGCAGATAGTACTGCTCCTGTGAATTCTGAACTTGACACAAGCCAGGGCATACCTCCCAGAAGCGCGGTTTCAGGCCCTGAGTGACATCATTCAAAGTTTCATGCAGCTTCCCACCAACACAGCAAGGAATAGCCTGAAACTTCTAGGACACATGATTGTTTGGTGCAACATGTCAGGCTCTCCAATTGTGGTTAGCCTTGATGTATTGGCTGGCTCGCAACAGTTTGGACAGGTCATGACTGGCTCAACTGGCCCTTGACTGCCTCCAGTGGTGTCTTGATTCACAAAAAGTGTGTGTAAGAGTCCCCTTCACTCACTGTTAGCCATCCCTCTCTCTAGCAACAGATGCGTCAGCCTTGAGCTGGGAAACAGATTTGGGAGGCCTCAAGACACCAGGTACTTATCTCAGACAGAACTCATTCTCCATATCAATGTCAGAGAATTGAGTGGTATGACCAGCATGCTGTCCTCTGAGCTAGCTTGCCAGGGAGATGTGTAGCGATTATGGCAGACAACACCATGTTGATGGTTTTATATCAACAAAGGGGAGTGCATGCTTTTCTCCCCTGTGTCAGGAAGCCCTTGGGCTATGGGACATTTGTGTAGAACAGTCAATACACCTACGAGCATTCTACCTCTCCAGAGCACAGAATGAGTTGGTGGACTGTCTCAGCAAATTATTCTATGGCCAAAAGTGGCCCTTAGCATACGCCCTGTGCTGGGGGTTTATGGCTGCCATGTCCAGGAGAGAGTGGTCTCTCCCATTGCTGTCTTGTGGGGCTGGAAGAGCATGCCTCTTCCCCACTCCGAAAACCTTAGCCTCACCCCTGCCAAAGATCATCCATGAGTAGAATGAATTTTGCTCTGTGCCCCAATATAGAGGTGATATGTCACGCACCTTCATATGGGTGCACATAATAAAATTGGTTCCGCACACAGACATCATAAATTAGAGGGAATACTGGTTCTTCATACCCAGAAATAGTGAACATCATTTTCCAACAGTGAGGCTTTTCCCCAAATAGACCTCTTCGCTCTGTGATGCAACAGGAAGTGAGCAGGGCGGGTCTTTGGGGAAGGGGCAGGATGTAGGGGAAGAAACAGAATAGATCTTGAGTTGTTCTTAAATTCCAAAAATGGTCTGGGCATAAAAGGGTTGGGGATCACTGTTCTACTATCATTGGATGACGGGATGTCCCAAATCGTACTCCACTTACAGCTTGGGAGCCCGCTCAGGAAGGAGGTAGCTGGAATAAAGGAATATTGAGGCTCCAGGGAGGCCACCCAGTAGCAGGGAAAAGCCTGGTAGTGGCTTGTTGGCCATCTGGATGGTTGTAGTGAACCTACAGGTGGCCCTGGGTTGAAGATAATTATCCCTCTAGCTAGAGGCAGAGGGATGGGAGAGCAGTTGGCTCTGCCACTAGCAGCAGAGGGCCTTGTGTCTTGACCCTGTAACTGACCTCTGGGGAACCCAGTCTTGGTTACCTGCTCATGGCATAGGTTCTAGTAAGTCTCATTTCTTATTCCCTTTCAGATCCGTTTTTTCACCAACACTTACACGCTAACTCCATACAATGGTGCAGAAGCTCAGGTATGTAGCATGGCTCACACCTCACATCACTGCTTGTCTGCAGTGTATTACTCCTTCCAATCCACAGGTGTCTGATGCTGGCTGTGAATGTCTCTTCCGCCAGAGGAATGCATACGCAGCAGCATTTCTTTACCTTTGTCCTGTGCATCTGAATTGCTTTCCACATGAAAGGTTAAAACACTGAGCTGGTATTTGAGGTTCTTCAAACAAATGGCTTTTCATCCCCTTTTTCCTCACCCATTGAAAACAAAAAACAAACGCCTCCTGCAGAGAGAGACTGTAGTCTCCAGATGGCACCTGAGATGGTCCCTGCTGCTCTTACCCTAACCAGGACCTGTATTAGTAGACGTAAGGCCAGAGGGAACTCTGCAGGTCCGAGCAAACAGGCCATAGAACTAGACCCAGTAATTCTTGCATCAAGCAGAAACCACAAGCAGCCTGTATTGAAGCTCAGCATAAGTGTAATTGGAGTCTATTAGGAGCATGGATTGTCCTTTTCCTAGTACCACAGGAAACAGGCCAGTACCTCTCTGAAGCTCCACTAGAGTATCTCATTGAGGACACTGAGCGGCTTGGCATTAGGCGTGTAAAATCCTGTTTGTTTAGTTAACCAGTTAAACATTGTTTCACTGGTTAACCAATTAAAGGGGGCAAGCAGGACTGGAGCAGATCCATGTACCAAGGCTGGGCTGGAGCAGCTCTCTCACCGCTGCTAGGATCTGCTCCAGCCGGCCCTGTCCATGGCGGGCCTGGGTACCCTGCAGCAGGGAGCAGACCGGAGCAGCCAGTCAGGGAGATGCTTACAGGTTAACTGGGTAACTTCACCTCCCTACTTGGCATCCTCTTCCCCTGCATGTGGCCAAGCTGTGTTCTGAAACGCAAGGCTGTTCGGAGAAGCTGGGCTGCCTGCTGACATGACTGTGCTGCAATTGTCTTTAAAGGTCTGGCTCGTCAGACAGAAGCCAGAGTCACTGGATGCACTCACGAAATATCACAGCTGCACTTCACCACTGGGGGGGAACTATGTGGAGTCCCGGAAGGTAAATACAACAGCAATGATTCTGAAATCAAACGGACTTTCGAGTAGTTTCTGTGCCAACAAAATATTCTTCAAATTGTATTTGTCATAAATAAAAGTGGAGGCTCCAGCGTGGCAGGGAGAAGTACAGGCAGGCGCCTGGCTGCACAGAGGTGGGAGATCACTCTCCAGCTCCCTTCCCTAGGGCGCAGACTTTGTGGCGATGCTACACCTGGCCCTGCTGTAGAAACCCTGTGCCTGTCCTCTGTGCCCAGCGTGTAGGCAGACTCAGCCTGGTAGTATCCAAGCTGGGGATAGGGGCTCTGTGTGGTGCAGTCTAGGTGTGGGTGGCTCTGGGAGGGGTCCAGGTACAGGAGTTCATTCTGGGTGCATGGGCAGTGGAGCTCAGTAAAAGGGGGTCTGGGTGTGGGGGCCTAAGTGGGGAAGTTTAGGTGCTGGGAGAGTGGGCCTGGGTGGGGTTCCAGCTGCAGCTACTTGGGACACAGTGGGGTGGGAATCCAGGTGTGTAGGGGGTGGTCCAGGTGCAGTGGGTGGGGGGGCTCATTGGGATGCAAGCGCAGGAGGATCAGCAGGAGGTGTGGTTACAGAGGAGGGAGTTTGGATGTAAAGGTGATGGGGCTGGACGGGGTGAAGCTTGGTGGGATGAGGTTCTGGGTGCAGGAGGGAGGTTGGGCAAGGGCTTGTGGGGATGGAGTGGGTCTAAAGACACACAAGTTGGGCGGGGGGGAGAAGCTTCCTGTGCAGTGATGTCCAACTCCAGGGTGAAGAGTGAGGGAAGCAGGGACTGGGGGAGTGCAGAACTTCCTGCAGCTATGGATGGGTCTGGCCCAAGCTGCTCCTGTATGGGTAGGGGAAGAGGAAGTCCTGTCTCAGCTGGGACTCGCAGATGAGCCAGGACTGGGTAGGAGCCACCATCTCTCTAGAACACTCCACATCCCCCACTGCTGTGGCGATCTCTCTCTGCTGGCTGTTCTGGGTCCCTAACAATGCTGCTGGGGAGTGTTGCATGACCACGCTCGCAGAGGGGAAAGGGAAGCTGAGAGGGATGTGAATTCTGCACACATGCAGTGGCCCAGAATTCGCCCAGGAGTACAAACTGTAGGAAATGGGCCGGCCCATATTGGCTGAGGACCTTGCTGACGCTTATTCTCTACTGTGCAGTGCCCGGCCTAGCGTGCCAGTCTGTGAATGCACTGCCTCGTGACTAGCAGCAGAGTGTCTAGGTGGGTGGCCTGAGTAGGCATTACAGGGCCATTCCTTCTAAGCCCCCCCCACCGGCCCTTCTGTGTCACCAGCAGAAGGCTTGATGCAACTTCTCACAGCGAGGAGGAAGCTCAATGGACCTGTAGAGGGATTGGCTTGAACTTAAGTTCACAGGAGTCCTATGAAAACCAGCCTGGGTTACAGCCCTTCCCATTCCCTTCAGAGCCAGTGAGAGGTACGATACCTGGAGGCTTTCTGCTGCTGAGCAGTGGAGAGAGGATCTCCTCTCCTCTCCTCTCGCTGCTGTCCACAAGGACACTGCGGGACAGCGAAGTGGGGGGGAGTATTTTCTTTCTCCCCATTTCATAGACTCTGTAGGAAGTTCAAAGTGCAGGCTCTATGCTGGCTGTACAGCTAAACCTTACTCAGCTTTTGTAGCAAGTGCACAAGAGAGCTGCAGCGTATTGTGCTTGACACTGCATAGATATGACAGTTTCTGCCCCAGGGAGCTTACAGCTTTGGGCACAGCGAACCAGTGGCAGCAGGAGGGGGCGTTACCGTCCAGCTAGCTGACTGGGCTGATTGGCCTGTACTTTGTTCTGTCTGGGTGGGCAGCTGGAGTGCAGTGCAGGAGGCCAGGCAGGCCTGAGATGTAAGAGCAAGGAGTGGGGAGGAAGCAATGCAATGGGCAGGCATGGGGTGCTCAGCAGAGTCGGAGCCTGCAGCCACTGACACCATAGCAAGAGAGAGTTCCCGGTCCAGAGTCAGACTGGGGGTGAGAAGGCCTGTGATGGCTCCTGGAGGGCCTGGATTTCACCCCCTGCATTCTCAGGCGTGGCTAATGCTGGCTGTCTTGGGAAAGCACCTCAAGGGGGCTTCAGCAATGCACATCATGCAAGTTCCTCCTCGCTTAAGCTGCTGCTTCCTCACTGCAGAGGCTGTGGTTTGCCCCGTGTGCTTGGCAGCTTGTGCTAATGCTGAAGGAGCATTTCTTCCCCCAAAGCAGTGTCTCCACACGTCCCACATGAATCCGCTTTCTTTTAGTTGGGGCTGTCGCTAACCCTTGTGAGTCCTAACCCTGACTCCCTGATGTGGCTGAGTGGTTATCTTTCAGGAGAACACCAAACCTGTGCTTGGCTTTGTCTGTCTCTGGCAACATCGAGAGGTCTAATACGACTGCTCTGGTTTTCTTGCAGATGGATGTGGATGAAGAAATTGCTGAGAGATTTTATCAAAAGCTGTTAGAACTGGAGAAGCAAGTCCTAGCAAGATTGACTGTTCCTTTGAGTCCCAAATAACAAATCTAGACCGTGCCTCCAAGGGCAAATCTTTCTGGCACTAGTGACAATGGAGTTCCTTCTAAGTGGGTACGAGGCATTTGCAGTGTCGGCTTTTCTGGAATCATGTGGCTTTGTAGCCTCTCCTCTTCTGCGTAGGCCCTGTCTGCACTTACCAGGAGAGTGGGGCGGTGGGGGTTGATTTTAGCTGCTCTAGGAAACACCTGCTAAATTGACCACTGATTGTGCTCCCATTGACTGCAGTACTCCAGCAGATTGAGAAGCAAAAGGAGAATCAATGGAGTTTCTCCCATCAACCCCTTGCAGTGGAGACACCACAGTAACTTGATCTAAGGTATGTTGACTCCAGCTACACTATTCATGTAGCTGGAGTCGCATACCTGGAGTCGCGTACCTTAGTTTGACATTGCCCCCTAGTGTAGCCCTGGCCTCAGTCTGGGAAGGGTTATTCTCCTGGAATTGAAGATGAGAGAGACACTGTAGTCCTGGAGTCCAGTACAAGACTGCTCTTTACACTCTAACACTTCCTAGTATCCTGCCGAAATCAGGCCTCCAGTCTGTGTATGTCATGGTCTTGGTAATAAAGTGCAGTCGCCAAGAACCACTGAGAAAAAGCATGAATGTGTTGAAGGCGCCATCAGAGCATAAGTGAAAAAGGTGGAAGGGCTGATCTTGGGCAGAAGGCTTTGTACTGGGCAGTGGGATCTCCTCCCAGGCTTCCTGGATAGCCACATGTGACTGCCAAGGTCAGAGTCCTCAAAAGCTGATTGGTATGTCTACATGGACACAAAGGCTACGTCTACACTGGCATGATTTTCCTAAAATGCTTTTAACGGAAACGTTTTCTGTTAAAAGCATTTTTGGAAAAGCGCGTCTAGATTGGCAGGATGCTTTTCCGCAAAAGCACTTTTTGCAGAAAAGCATCCATGGCCAATCTAGACGCGGTTTTCCACAAAAAAGCCCCGATTGCCATTTTCGCGATCGGGGCTTTTTTGCGGAAAACAGCACTGTGCTGTCTACACTGGCCCTTTTGCACAAAAGTCTTTCGGAAAAAGACTTGCCCAAATGGGAGCAGCATAGTATTTCCAGAAAATCACTGACGATCTTACATGAGATTCAGTGCTTTTCTGGAAATTGATTTTGCGGAAAAACTTGCCAGTCTAGACACAGCCTTAGTGTGCATGCTAGGTACTGACAGAGCAAAGCGCACTAGCAGGGCTGTGGTAACTGCTGCAACACAATTTGGCTGGATGCTCTTTAGGTTGTATACGAGACAAATTCACATCCAGCCTAATATTGTGAATCACCTGCAGGGGCCAAGGCATAGATTGGGATGCCCTTACTGTTCTCGCTGGTGGGAATTGGGGGCTATTTCTGTTACCGTAGCACAGAGCAGCCCTAGTCATGGTTGAGGACCTGCTATGCTAGGCGCTGTACCAACAGGCCACAAATGGCCCTGCTGCAAAGAGTCACAAGATACAAACATGGCTGCTTCAGAAGAGCCTGCCTTAGAGCACTAGAATTAGATCCTTAGGAGTGAAGGGAAAGCCTTCCCTAGTGGTTAGAGCTTTGGGATTCGTGTAAACTGGGTTGATTCCCTGGGTGCTCTTCAGCTTATCGCTTGCCCCTCAGCCTCAGAAACAGTTTTTAAACAGCCACAGGCTCCTTCCAACTGCTGCCTGCAGAGCCCAGTGCCAGGATGTAGGGCAGCCCCACAGGGGTGAGGAATGTGGCTTAGGACATGGTAGAACCCCCACGAGGTGCAGCAGACACATGTCCTCCTCTGCAGAGCCCCGCACCTTGGAGGATGCTCTGGGTGGTTTGGGGAGATCTCCCCTGCCCCATGCTTCTACAAGGCTTCTGAGGCATAGAGGGTTCAGAGACGAGCCATGAGGCCCATTTGAGGTCTGGCCATCCTGCCTGTGAGAGAGGGACAAATTCAGCTTCATCTCTTAAGCTTATTGAAGAGAAGCTGGCTAAGAGGTCATGTGGTGATGGGCTACAAATACCTGCATGGGGAGGAGATTTGAGAGGCGAGGGCTCTTCAACCCATCGGACACGGGCAAAATAAGAGTTGGAAGTTGAAGCTAGATGAACTCGCATTGGGAGAAAGGGGCAACTTATTTACAGTGAACGTAAACCACCTCAAGAAGTGTGGTGCAGTCCCAGCTAAAACCTTTCTGGCTGCAGAGGGTGTCTCTTGGGGAAAGCTGTGCGGGGTACCTGGCTAAAATTCCCTGGCCTGTCAATCGATGCCCTAATGGCCCCAGGCTGCAGAGCAGACCACCTTTTCCTATGGGTGACCCTCACACGCCTCCTTTGAGGAAGGAGCCATCATTCAGGACTGTGCTGCTGCTGGGAGGCTGGAGTCAAGTTGTTTTCATGCCCAAAGATTTCTTGCAGGCTCAGTTCCTTCTCGGAGGCTGGGATGCCCTTGTGCCGGATATACCGGGCCTTCCTGGCTTCAGCATACAACTCCAGAAATGCAGGCCTGCTGACTGTGGGCTGGAGGTGGCTGTTGTGGGGGGCATAGGCACCTACAGCGGAGCTCAGCTTCTCGGGGCCAAAGGGAGGTATCCTCTCTGTGGCGCTGGTGAGCTGGAGCATGGTGTCTCTGCCATCTGCATGGCTGGCCTTGGCCTGCCCCTGGGACAGCACTGTGGGGTCTCTGTCCAGCTCTCCTTGGCTGTTGGGTTCTTCCTGCTGTGCCCGCTTGGCAGCGATGTTCAGCCGCCTGGCGAGGGAATGCCTGAGGTCTGTGATGGAGCTCGCAGCTTTGGCCTGGGTGCACAGTGAGGCCAGCCCAGGCCTTCCGGAGGACTCCTGCCTTGCATCATCCAGGATAGCACCAACACGTGTCTGTTGCAAGGGTGATTGGGCTGCTCCCGTGAGCCCCTCCATCTTGGGCAAAGTACTTCTGGGTGCTCTGAAAAGGAGGGAAGAGAGAGGACGGAAACCTCTGCAGTCACTGGCCAGCCGCTCTCCCTCAATCACCTCTCTGCTTCCCAGCCTGACCCTAATGACCATGACTGCCCAGTGGCTCTGCCGGGTGAAGCTCCTTCACAGAGCCCTGAACACAGGGCTCCCCCCCGCCAGCCCATGCTGCAGTGAGAGGGAGAGCCTTGCACACGTCCAACGAGTGTGCCAGGCTGCAGCCCCTTTTCCAGCTCCCCTAGAACCTTCCCAGGTTATGGCTGCACTTCTCCCTGTAGCACACCCCAGCCGTGGCCCCACAGCTCCTCAGTGTGGCCCGCCGTGGCCAGATTCCACCAAGACCAGGGTGTGGGATGGGGAGGTGCTTTCAACTGTGGGGCCTACTTCATTGCTCCATTCGGGCATCCAGGCAGAGTTCCTCTGGGCCATGGCTGCTGGCTCCCTGCGTGGTGGTGAGGAGCAGTGGGCGCTGGCTGGGAGTCCCCCTCTAGCTCCCTGCTACTGAGTCTGTGGCCCAAGTTCCCATCCCTGTGCCCTTCATTCACTTGTCTTGGGCCCAGTGGTCCTTCCCCATGGGCTGGCGGAGGGACCAGCAGCTGTGGGCAGGTTTGTGCTCAGCCACGTTCCCAGGAGCTCCGTCGGTGCTGTGCCAGGCTCCCAGCAGAGCTCCTCCAGCCGTGCCCATACATGGGCTGGGCATTGCTCCCTTCGCCCACACAAGCCATATTTTTCCAATAAGGTGTTTTCTTTTGTCAAAAAACCCAGACTTAGTGGTCATGCACACACACCCCCCCTCTTTTTTTTTGCAAAGTGAGTTTGTGTACAGTGATGTTTTTCATTGTTTTAAAAACATTGAAGTGAAAAATGTATTTTAAAAGTACCAACTGTTTGGGATATTTGCTATGGGTTTTTTGTTTCACAATTATTGTAAAATGCCCATTGAGTATGTTTTACTCTTTCTCCTATTTTTCCACTGGAACAAGAAAGGGGAATGTAAAAAAAGAAAAAGTGGGAAAATAACACATTTTCACTTTATAACTTTTTCGTTGCAAGAAAATAAACTAAAAATGGAAAAACTACATTTTTGTCTTTCCCCTTTTCTCCCATGTCCCTTTGTCTTGTTAGTGTGACAGACAAGTGTTTGTTTCCTGCTGCTTTTTGCTGTCTTGCATCCTTTTGCCTGCTCTGTAATGTCAAAAGACCCTCAAGCATGGACCGGAGCTCAGCTTATCCTTTGCTGCTCTGTCTTTTGCCAAAAGCAGGGACATTTTGAAATTAGCAAGTGGCCAAAGGAAAAATGCTACAGGAAAGAGAGACAAGTAGCTATCCCTTCCACATTACTCATTTTATTGTACTCAGCGGCTATGGGGGGCCGGAGGGAGCACAGTCAACTCAAATCTGACATTTCAAAAGTCCAAAATTTTGAAGTTTTAATAATTCAAAGATTTTTGGAAATTATTTATTTTTTAAATGGCTCAATTTCACCCCCTGTGCCAAAGGGACAAGATCACCAGTTCAACAGTTTTCATGAACTTGTGAGATAGCCCCAGGGCAGCTGACTACAATAGTTTGGTGATAGAAATGGAGCCGTGTTAGTCTGGGGTAGTTGAAGCAAAATGCAGGCCAATGTAGCACTTTACTACAATAGTTTGGTGAGAGCAGACATACCAGCAGCTTAGTGAATGCTTTCCTGTTCCCTGAATAAACTGACTAGAGACTTCTACCATGTAATCAAGGCAGCCAACAGGCACCTGAAGCTAATTAAGAGCTCACCTGAAGCAGTAGGCTAATCAGACACCTGTTGCCAATTAAGGCCTGCTGGGCTACTTTAAAAGGTTTCCCCTCTGCTAAGGAAGGGGAAAGGAGAAGTGTGACAGACTGAGAGGGAGAAGTTGCTGCTGAGAAAGGAAAGTGTTTGTGCTGGAGCAAGAAAGTTTGCTCAGACCCCAGGGAGAAGATACTAGGGGAGTGTTTGGGGAAGTGGCCCAGGGAAAAGGCTGCTGTATTGGGGCTAGAGGAAAACCCCATCAGTTGCTGCTACTTAGCATCCCTGGGCTGGAATCTGGAGTAGTGGGTGGGCCCGGGTTCCCCTCAACCCATCACACACCACTAAAAAGTCTGTTCCTGGACAGGGAGGCCAGGATGGCGGAGGGGTTTCACCAGTGATGAGAGGCTCAGTATGCTGTGGTGCTGGCCTCTAGACAAGGTAAGAGGCAGGTTGGAGGGTCACCGTGAGCCTCTGGGTCAGACAATAACTGCCTAGCATGCAGAACCCACGGGGCTTGACCGGAGCTTTGCCAGGTGTGTGTTTCTGTTAGTAAGGGCTGGGTGCTGGTCTCCTGTGCATGTAACTTCTCTCAGGACAAGATGCTTGGCCTGGGATAAGCTTGTCCAGGCTGGAAGTGACACCTCTGCTCCCATCCCCCCTTAGCAATGAGATCTCTAGCCAAAGGCAGCTCAGCATGTTTGCAGCCATCTAACTCCCTCCTGCCACCCACCCCTGCTCACCCCATGGCTCTCACTGCCCCAAAGGCAGGAGATGGCTGCAGCCCTCAGCAGAGCCTTGCCCCTGTTTGGCTGGGTCCTGTGGCTGAATGGACACGTGTGTTCGGGCTGCCAGGCTGTGGTCATGAGACACACACTTACCTCAGTCGCTCCCCTCGGCTGGTGCTAT